TCATTCATGAGTTTATTGATGTGTTTCAGGGTATAGGAAAAGTGCCGGGTGAGGTTGAGTTAAAGCTGAGTTCAGATGCAACCCCTGTTGCACAACCCCCTCGCCCTGTCCCCATAGCTCTGCGAGCAGGTGTTCAAGCGAAACTGCAGCAACTCGTTGACGATGAGATTATTGAGAGAGTCCCAGTAGGTACACCATCACCATGGTGTAGTGCTCTACATGTAGTCCCCAAGAAGGATGGGACAGTAAGACTAACGATTGACCCCAAAGACTTAAACCTAGCGCTACAGAGAGAGTTCCACCCAACTAATACAGTAGACGAAGTCGCACAGAGATGTTGTAAAGTCAGATACTTTACAGTGTTAGATGCGAATCAAGGATATTTCCAGCTACAGCTAGACGAACGCTCCAAGGACTACACAGTCTTCAACACACCCTTCGGTAGATTTCGGTACAGAAGATTGCCAATGGGCATCACATTCGCGCCAGAATTGTTTCAAAAATCTTCGGAGACATCTTCGAATGTATAGAAGGCTTAGTGAAAATTGTGGATGATTTCCTAGTAAGCGGAGACACAATAGACAAACATAACAAGACACTTAGAGAGACACTAGAAAAAGCGAGAGAGAACAATGTGACATTTTTACTGACGAAACTACAGCTATGTTTACATAAAGTAAAATACTCCGCAGACAAGTTCACAGAAAATGGAACAAAGATCGATGAAGAGAAGATCACAGCGATAGTGGGAATGCCACAACCCAAGTCAGTACCAGACATAGAGAGACTAATTGGGATGGTGACATACGTAGGAAAGTATCTAAAAAACTTGTCCTCAGCCACAGAGCCATTGAGAGACCTGATCAAGGAATCCAAGTACATAAACTTCAAATGGCATTTTGACAAGATCTATAAAGACGCGTTCAATCAGATCAAGAAGCTGTTAACCAGTGCACCAGTACTCTGATACTACAGCAGGGAAGAGCCAGTAACGATTTCAGGAGAGGCCAGTCAATCCAGAATAGGATGTGTCCTGTTGCAAGATCAGCGACCAGTGGCATATGGGTCCAAGGCATTGACAACCGCTGAATACGCGTATGCACAGATTGAGAAGAAATTGTTGACATTGTTTTTGCATTCAGGAAATTCCACACATACGTGTACGGACGGACAGATGTCACTGTCGAGACAGACCATTTGCCCCTGATCAGAATCTTCCAGAAGCCATTACATCAAGTTCCACTCCGTTTACAGAAGATGAGGATGAGACTACAAGGATACGACTTTACCTTAGTGCACAAGAAGGGAACAGAAATTCCAGTTGCAGATGCACTGAGCCGTGCGCACGTCAACGAACCAGGTCCGATCCTTACTGGAGAAGACTCGCACATTTTTCTAGCAGGATCGGAAGAACTAAATAGCGTACAACAGACAAGCTCTCCAAGGATGAAACAGATCAGAAGAGAAACTGCACAAGATGCTGAGCTGGAATTACTGAGCCACACTGTGAAATTGCCGTCAGGATGGCCCGAGGACAAGAGAAAACTTGATCCGAGAATCGCAGCGTATCATGACTTTCGAGATGAAATGAACATCGTGGATGGAGTAGTCTTCAAGGGAACAAGAATCGTGATACCACAGACAATGAGGATAACAGTCATCGAGATGTTACATGCTGCCCATCAAGAAATGGTAAAGACCAAACAGTTGGCAAGAGACTTCCTTTACTGGCCAGGGATTAACAAATAGATAGAAGATACAATTTCTCGATGTGGACCGTGTCAAGAACACAGAGCCCGACAGCAGAAGGAACCCCTGATGCCACTGCCAATACTAACAAGACCATGGGAACATGTAGGAATGGATCTGTTTGACTGACCTCAGAGCAAATGGCTGATTTGCATTGACTACTACTCTAAATACTTTGAGATAGAGAGAATGATGACAACAGATGGATCAGCTGTAATCAAGCAGACAAAGAATGATTGATAATCCTAACCCTAACACTAACCTACTAAATGACATTAAACAACAAACTAATATTATTGACATGACATATATATATATTATTATATGTAATATATATTGTTATTTCTGACATTAATGACATTTAGAGTTGGGAACATTCTAATGAAGTATCACCTAAACATTGGTAGTAAATACATTTCGGTTTTTATCTTTTAATTATTGCCAACGGCTCAAGTGTGTCTGTGCTAGCAGGCTCGGCTATGATGTGGATCACGAGGCATGTTTAGCCTACACTATAGCCGCTTCGCTCCGCCACAGCTAGGCTCCTGTCTGTATTGTCTGTCTGATACTGACATTACTGTAACTAATCGGCTGGTATGGCATAGATGTCATGAATCGCTTTGATGACCTAATTTTGATCGCTACCCTGTGGCAGAGGCGAGGGATATAGTACTAATACCTTAGCGCTAGTAGTAGTATAATACCGCCAGGCTCACCCCCCCCACCCCCCCCCCCCCCCCCCCCCCCCCCCCCCCCCGCTGTTACACGTCGTTGTCCAATCGCCAACGTAGTGTAAGTGAGAAGGGAACTTGTGCTAGTAGTATACTATAGTAACTATATAGGCCGCGTACAGTTGCCGCACGCCTGCGCGCAACTGTACGCGGGCTAATAACATTATTCTTTATTAGTCATTAATGTTATTCTTGCCTCGTGTTACGTCTTGGGCCTCTGTCCAAGTGTTTCTGTCGTATGCATATTCCAAAGTGTTTCTGTGTAGGTTCACGAAACAAAAGCAACGGCCATTTTGCGGTCACTCAACTGTTTTTCTGAGACTAAGATCACGCATCTCGTGGACGCAATACATGACATCCTCTTCCATTACAAAAATAAAACCGGTCCAAATTCACACAAGTGTTACGATGCCAAATAAACAACACATTTGTTTTTTTTGTTTTTAAATTCACTACGAACTAACGCTTCACTAAACTCTGTAAATGCACATGGCAATCTTGCATAGGTTCAATTCAACCATGAAATGCTTGTCTAATAAACATAACTATATTATCTAACTGATTTGTCTTCCCCTTGTCCTTCGCTCATTTTGTCTATCTCACAAGTCTGACAACTTCTGAGGTGGTCTGGAAATTCCCTGACCTAGTGAGCAAACTGAAGGCTTTGAGCGACTCACATTTGACTCAACTGTCGGCTACAATTATATGTGTGCTGGTTGACGGTTGAGGTTGAGGGAGCTATTGTGAGTTTGGACAGGGTAGGGAGTGGGGATTTGGGTGAGTTTCTGTCAACTAATGGCTGTGGCCATATTGCAAAGCTCCGATCATCTCGAGGTTCATCACTCTATCTCGAGCGGTGTTAGTGTCCTTGTCCTCAAAGATCGACGTCGATTCTCCTAGTGAGCCTTCCACTCGGCAGCCTTATCCTGTATGATCTGGTGTACATTCCGTTTGATTAGACTGAATTAAGCTCTGCTAATTCCACGTCTCTTTGCTCCTCACTCGGATTGTATAGATGCTTCATGGTTCCAAGCTGTTTTACGTGTCTGTCATAATTTTCTTACGCTCTTCATGTCCTGGCATCCTTACAGTCCCTGCTTACATCTGTGGTTCTTTCACCTGTGGGTCAGTTTTGCATGTGGGTAGGAATGCTTGTGGCCAGTACGGTCTCGCAAACAGTCTCTGAACTGGTGATCGCATCTCCGTCGTCTCTCGGGTAATTCCTTACTGTTAAGTAATGCGAGTATGGTCGTTCGTGCTGCTTGCACTTCTCAGCCATTTGCTGTGGCAGTTCCACTGCCTTCTGACCAGTGCCATTGTCTGTGAATGGTCGGGTGATATTCGTTTATGGACAAATCCATACTATCCGCAACTGTCCTGCATTTCCCACTCATTACCAATGGAGGTCTTGTCACTTGTAACCCGAGCTGGTGTCCATGGGTGCTGAACCACTTCTCNATTTATTTATTTATTTATTCATTTACGCTTCCACAGACCCTCGATTTGTCGCATAATGCCATCGAGTATATTGCACCGGGAACATTCAAAGATCTAGATGAAATCGGAGATATAAAACTCGAGTACAACCATCTGTACACGGTCTCAGCAGGAACCTATGCCGGCCTCAAGAAGCTTGAGGTCATACAACTTGAATACAACCGGATTTCGAGCGTTGCTGCTGGAGCCTTTGAGGGCGCAGCGGCAGCAAGGATGGTTCTCCTATTTAACAACAACCTCGTCACCATCGCAGCTGGCACCTTCAGAGGACTGAGTAACGCGACCGTACGTACAGACACCCGTAGTCCAGTCAGTGATACGTGGTATTGTAAGAGAGTAAACACAGCCGAAAAGCATTATTAAATCTTTGTAGATGCTTATTATCAAGAGCGTATAAAGAAGGCCTTCTTTAAGAAAGAATGCCTTTTTTTTAAAAAAAAGACCTTTTTTATACGCTCTTGTTATTATTC